ATGGACAAACTAAACGAAAACATCATCATATACTTGATTATGTTCGTGTTCTTCCTCTTTCTGCCTCTTGTCCAGAAAAATTAAGTGGTGAAGCAACTCTTACTGCAGTCTACTACATTAATTGAGTTCCTATCTTACTCCAAAATTTATCCCCTTAGGAAAAATTGTTTGGAAAGTCTCCTGACTATTCCCTGTTTGAACCTTTTGGTTTTGCCCGTTTTGTTCTGTTACAACCCCATGAATGTACAAAATTAGAACACGTGTTAGTTTATGTTATTTTCTTGGGTATGAAATTGAACACAAAGGGTTTCGTTGTTGAGATCTTATTACAAATAAACTTTGTATATCCCATCATGTTACCTTCCGGGAAAATATCATGTTCTCATCTTTTTTTTTAATTTCAACGCTCTGTCAATATTGACTCTATGTTTCTCACTGATTTCTCAATTGAGTTAGGTAATTCTGATATGCTCAATATCAGACCTTCCACACTTGCTCCTATTGATTCTGCTCTAGCTGCTGATCCTGCACCTACACCTCCACCTACCCTTGACACCACTTTTCGTCGTTCTACCCGGGTAAGAGAAACTCCTCATTACCTTACGGATTTCCATTGTTATTCTGTTATTGCAACCCTTCATGAGTCTCGCTCTTATCGAGAGGCAAGTACTGAACCTCTTTGGCAGCAAGCTATGTCTGAAGAACTTCAAGCTTTGGAGAAAAATCATACTTGAGATTTAGTCAATTTTCCTCCTCATAAGTCCCATATTGGTTGTAAATGAATTTATAAAATCAAGGCTCGTTTTGATGGGTCCGTTGAGCACTACAAAGCTCGTTTAGTAGCCAAAGGTTACACTCAAGAATATGGAATAAATTATGAAAATTTTTTTTGCTCCGGTTGCTCGATTAACATCAGTCTGTAGTCTATTAGCTATTGTTGTGGTTCATAAATGAAAGCTTCTCCAAATGAATGTCAAAAATGTTTTCCTTCGTGATGATTTGTTATAAGAGGTGTATATGCATTCTCCTCTTCGTTATCATTCTCCTCATAAAGTCTGCAAAGCTCCGACGAGCTTTGTATGGATTAAAACAAGCTCCTCGAGCCTGGTTTGTCGAATTTAGTTCTACTCTTGCTCGACTTGGTTTTATCTTTAGTCCACATAATTCAACGTTGTTCGTTCGTCAAATTTACCATAGTATTGCACTTATGTTACTTTATGTTGATGATATAATAATAACAGAATATAAAATAACAGAAAATGATATATCTGATATATCTGAATTACAATATTTTCTCAGTCAATGTTTTAAAATGACGGACCATGACAATCTCAGTTACTTTTTAGGTCTTGAATTTTCTTATAATTCTGAAGAATAGTATCTTTCTCAAGCTAAGTATGCATCTGATCTACTTTCTCGAGCAAACTTACGTATCAAACCCCTTAGAACTCAATTGTAAACTTACTCCTCTCAATGACACTCCTCTTGATGATCCTATTTTAAATCGACAACTTGTTAGTAGTCTAGTTTATCTCACTGTTACTCGACCTGATATCTCATATACAATTCACTTAGTCAGTCAGTTCATGTCTGCCCCTCGCTCATCACATTTTTCTGTAGTTCTTCAGATACTTCGATATATTAAAGACACTCTTTTTTATGGTCAACATTTTTCTGCTCACCCCTCTTTAATGTTATCTGGCTACTCTGATGCTGATTGGGCTGGTGATCCCCCAGATCGTCGTTTTATCACTGGTCATTACTTCTTCTTATGATATTCTCTTATCACTTGGCGTAGCAAAAAGCAAACAGAGGTTGCTCGTTCCAGCACAGATCGTGCTCTAGTTGACGCCTCTGAGTATCGTGCTCTAGCTGACTCCACATTTGAATTATTTTGGTTACGCTGGTTGTTATTTGATCTGGGTGTTAAACAATCTTCTTTTACTATGCTTCATTATAATAAAAAAAGTTTTAAACAGATCTCTCATAATGATATTTTTCATGAGCGTATCAAGCACATTGAAATCAATTGTCACTTTATTTGTCATCATGTTACTCAGGGCACCATACTTTTTAGTACCCATCTCCTCTGTTAATCAAGCAGCTGATATCTTCACCAAAACTCATCCTCTCACGCGTTTTCAAGACCTGCTAAGCTGGCTCAAGATGACATCCACTATACCATCAAGAGTTTGAGGGGCGTGTTAAAGTGCTTATAGGAATCAAGGGCATTAATAGCCTTGATAAGGCATCAGTAGCCTTCATTCTTTATGCAGAATTTTAGGATGTAAATAGACAGATTTTTATTTCTTATTTTTAAAATGTGACAACTTTTCTTTCTTATCTAGTCTTAGGTCTCTTGTATAAATATCAGTTTTCATTGTACAATTAGAGATCAAGAAATACAAATTCATTTTGCACTATTACATTCCACTCTGGCATTTGCATATATTACGCCTAAACTTTATTTTTTACATGCATGCCATCTTACCTGAAAATGAAAAGGTACATTTCACTCTTAAAAAGTTAAAATGGTCATATTTTTATGTGATGTGAAAGATTTTGGTGTTGTAAATGTAAAAAATTTATGTTTAGGTGTTAGATATAGCAGTAATCTGCTAAACAAAAAAAATGTCAAGAACTTACAAAGATATAGCAGTAATCTACTAAACAAAAAAACGCTTCTCATCTAATTCAAGAACTAATAACGTCAATAACTTACATTGCACAATAAAATCCTGCAGAGATAGCAATTCAACAAAATGAACAGAAGAAGTTCAAAGGCGTTACAAACATTACCAACTTGATTTGAGGAAGTCCATAATAAGCTGCAGAATGTAGAATGTCTCTCTCTATATGATGGGCAGATATCAGGCCTAAGCGAAGAGGAGAAGAGTTCGGAGAGTTGGTAGGGTGCCATATCCGTGGATCCCAGACAGTTCATGCAATCATTTTGTCGATTAGCTTGTCGGCAGCATGATTCGTGACCCATTTCTCTTAAGAGGGTAGAGGAAGTTCAGAGGAAGCTCTGCGGGTGGGAACAGCGAGCCGCAGAGCTTCCTCCGGCGGCGATGCAGTAGGGGAGGAAGGAAATGGAGCCGCAAAACCGGACAAGCGTGCCCTTTAAACCCGGAAGAGAATAATATTCTAATAGTGACTGGAATTAAAAAAATTTATTTTTTTGAAAATTTACATATACACTACGCGATTATTTATTAAAATATCTAACAAAATTATGTTGAATGCTCCTTGCCTGTGCATGAATTATACCTCAAGAGTTTGATCACGAACAATAAATCATGTCTCATAGGAATGATCACATATTTATAGAACATTGTAAAGTATGTGATTAGGGGTTGTCAAAATTGCTGGTTGTTAGTGAAAAGTTAGTGTTCGACTCGTTAAGAAGCTCGTGCTCGGCTCGTTCGCTAAGTTAACAAGCCGACCATGAACAAAGCTTTGTTTGTTTGTGTTCGGCTCGTTTTGACTCGAAATACTACTCATCAAGTATGTATGTATGTATATATATATATATATATGTATAAATTAGTAGTATTTTTTTAAAAAAATTAATTGACTACATTGCTACAATAATTTATAATCAATTGAAAGTATTAATTAAGAAAATAAAAATATAAATTATTAAATTAGATTCAGATGATGTTTTAACATAAACAATAATTTGTAAATCTTGCTTACTTACCTCAATCCTTAACATGTTATGGCTATGTGATTAAAGTTGTCAAAACGACTCTTTATTTGTGAACAGCTCGTGTTCAGCTCAATAAGCAAACGAGCCGAACACGAACACATTTTTTGAGCTCGAAATATAAATGAGTGGAACATGAGCGAGGTTCGTGTTTGGCTCGTTTACACCCCTATATGAGATGTCATCTCTTTGCCATTGTTTTAACTTGATTGTTAGAGGATAGTGCATATTCATGTTTGCTAATGTCTAGGTAATCCTAACATTCAATTTTTTTCTTGTATTACGAGTAGGGGAGTCAATTTCGAATAGCGGTTCGAGTTCAGGTCTGACTCGAAAATGAATGGAACCCGAATAGAACCAAACCGAACACGACCTGAATAATAAATAAGTCGAAGACTATGAATCAAACCCGAATCGAACCCCAGTTGACCTGCTAACCCAAACCTGACCGAAAATTTTGTGCCTATTTGGGTTTTCAGGTTCAACCCGAACCCGACCCAAATAATAAACGGGTTAAATTCTCTGACCCGGACACGACTCGAAAAATATTTGGGTCAACCCTAACCTAGATTTGTAATTTGTTGGACTTTTTTATAGTGTAAAAAACTATGATATTCATTAAAAAATATTAATTTCATTGAATAGTTATGAAGTTTAATTTATAAGTTGCTTGTAGTTTAATTACACGGACCAACATCTTCGGTGAAGTAAGGGCGAGATCGGATAGACTTTTTGTCTCGTTGTATTTCTTTATTCCTTCCATTCCTTGATCGTAAATCTCTTAACTTCACATTTAACCTTGCTAATTTCATCATAACTAGTTTGTTAAATATATTTTAATTGATCAGCTCATATTATTTAAAAATAAATAAATATTTATTAATGTGACAAAATTTAATCTATAAATATGAAATTGCAAAAAAATAAGTAAATTTTCTTTTGAGCTCATGGGCAATCCCGACCCATTTAGTGGGCAAATATGTCTATGAAATTTTAAATAATAATTGGGCTCGAGCTTGTTTTGATTGGTCGAGGTCCAAGTAAACCTAACTCATGCCAAATCTGACCCACCCCATGCCCAAGTCTAATATGACCAGAAAAGAAACCTTAATAAATTTGCAAAACAAATCAAAAAAGAAATAGGGTTGGCTAAGAAAAACTTTGAATCCAACAACAAAGCCTTCCAGGAAAAAAGCATTTTGATTTTAATTTTCTAACAAAATTTTTGATAAAAATAAATCAAATTTAGTTAAATTTAATTATTATATATAGCGTGGCCTACACACTTCACTATATAAATTTAGGTCTCCACAAACCTAGGGACTTACAGCGCTGCTCGCCACGAGTGCTTAGAAAAGATACGCAGCTTTCTAGGGCGGAGGAGTTGAGATCGAAGAACATGGAGGAGGTGCTGAAGCCCTTCTATGAGAGGGCAGCTGAAGCCGAGGTAGGCGATACAGATCTTCTCAATGAAATTCTGGATTGTTGCAATACTTTGAATGCAATGTATTCTCACCTCTCATGCTTTCATGGTTTTCTCTTCGTTTTTTTCTCTGTTCCCCTCTGGAGCGGGACATCTGGTTTGTTTCACGGCCCTAGGCTGTTTCAGTGTGGAAAGGGTTACATTAGCTGGCTAGTACCAAAGATTATTGGATTTTCCGTAGGAGATGAATCTAGAAGAATGATATTACTGATCTTAGTTGTTTAGGGTTGTATAGAGTAGAAATGAAGGCGGAACAGTTAGGATTCATGTTTCTTATTTTTCAAGTAAATTTCAAATTAATTGGTTGCTGCTTTGGTAATTCTATCTTCAAGCCTTCATCACCTCAATCGTGCTCATCCTTGTGTTTTAAAGTTTCGAAAGGTATAATTTATTTTGGTTTTATTGTACACAATTTCGTTCTTCAAGCTTATGGTTGTGCGTTTGGGGAAAACCACTATTTAGCTTTGTAGGGATCTCCTGAAATGCGCTCTCCTGCAGATTATCATGCTGCTTGCTTATTTGCAGTCTACTTTCCAGCTGAGTAGCAGAACTTGGCATCAATATGCTTAAATTTCGTTGTCTGTGATCTATGCTTCATTTTTGAATGTTACTTGAAATTGAATTTATTTACTAAAGATGGATTATGGCCAGCCAAAATTGATCCATGGGCTAAGTATACTACTCCGAATAAAAAAGGTAAACTACTTAAAAAGCATTGGATAATATCATACTTACATAGAGACTAAGTATACTTTAATGTTTCTTTAATATGATAATGCTGTTATTGCGTAAAGGCAGTGTGTTCCATTGATTCTGTTTTCGCCGTAGGTTTCTTGGAAAGCTATTATGGATGGATATTTAATTTAACACCTTTTATAGTGATGTGATTAGAAATTAATCAGTCACTCAAATTAGGTGCTTTGTTAATTTAACGGTTCATAAAATTAGGCCCGCGGTGGCTCTAACTTCAACAATCTTACGTAGGATTTCGTTCTATCCTTCTCATGCTTAGTTATTTTTGTCATTTGTTTCTGATTGAAAGTTCACTCTGTAATATCTACTATTTAGAATTAGCACTCTATCTACACTAACCAGAATGCGAGCTCGCATCCTAATGAGCTTATTTTTATCTGAAGGAACGCATAATGAGGTTGGAGACATTGCTTGGCAATAAAAAAGGTATGCTTCTATATTAATTTAAAGGAAAATTTACATACACAGCACACAGTTCTTATGTATTTACATATCTCACACTTGAACTCTCATACTTACATACATAGCACTTGGTGTTTTAAAACTATGCTCGAGAAGGTGGATTTCACTTTTAAAGAGTGGTAATATTGTTATTTTTGATGTGACATGAAAGATTTGAGCATGATGTGTGTAAATATGGAAGTTTTGGTGTGAGATATGTAAATACATAAGAATTGTGTGTAATTTATGTAAATACCCCTAATTAAAAACTTATGCATTTTTTTATAGCAGTTTGAACGATTATATGCATATTTTTCTAGGAGATTCAAATTATGAGAGCAAGCAAATGTCGTCTATTATTAATGACTTCCAGTCAAAGTTAGAAATAGCCCAAGCCCAACTTGATTCTGAACAAGAGAAGGTTGATACTTCTTAATGTTATTTGCTTTCATTAACTCACTAAATTTTCTTTTTCTCTATAAAACTTCCAGGCTTCAAAGGAGATTCGAAGGCTAGTTGATGAGAATTTGAAGCTTCGCTATCGTATTTCTCATCTGATACAAGCGGTGAAAGAAGCAGATTCCAAATTAAACGTGCATTAAAGGTTTCATCTTTCTAAATTTTTTTCTGCAACTTGTTAAGTTATAAATATTCTCAACTATTTCATTTCATTTTGCGCCAGCCCTTCAAAGTAAAAGGTTCTGGATAATTGATTTTCTCATTTAATGGAAGAACAATCATCTCAAAAATATTGCAGAAAAACTTTCTTTTTTGAAATGAATTTTTTCTTTTGTAATTGGTATGTATTTTTTTTTTAAATGACTATGGCTCCCGTCACTTTTATTTATGGGGCACATTTTGGAGATGCATTTATGAGGATTGGTAGGGAACATGCTTGACTACTCATGCATTCATCCCCTTCATGAATCTAGTTATTATAATTATCATTATAATAATTAGAGAAGTGGTTTAGGTCCAAGGGAAAGTCTCAAAGAGATCCATCTGAAATAATATAATGAAGAAGAGCAATTGGATGAAGTTTAAAAGTTGAGAGGGGCATTTACTTACACCAAATAATTCATAATTCTTAAATAATTACATATCTAACACCTATACTTTCATATTTGCATTTATACAACTCAAATCTTTGATATTACATTAAAAATACCATTTTTACTAACTTTTTAAAAGCAAAATGCACATGTTCATGCATAACTTTTTACACCATAGTGCTAAAAGTGTAAATATTAAATTTCAAGTGTTTGATTTGTAAATAAATAAGAATAATGCGGTATGCATGTAAATTTTTCAGGCCGAAATGATCAAAACAAAATATATTTTGTCAACCTTCCAGATTTCAAATCTGATATTGCCCTTGAAAGGAGCAAGCGAACGAAGCATTGCTTTCCAGTAAGTAGAAGAGTTAATAAGAACTGTTTTCCAAATATATTGGCTAAACTTTTTGGATTGAATGGAAACTTAATTTAAAGATTTTAGTTTCAATGCATATAAATCTGTTTGTGGTATGTGCACCCTAACTATGGCTCAGGAGGTCACACGTCATCAGCTAGCACAATTAATTTGGTTAATAGTACCTTTTCTCTTTTTCCTATTGGGGCATTTACATACTACCCAATTCCTATTTATTTACATATCTATCACATAAACCCTGCTTTTTTACATTTACCCCCAGAATGTTTCATACCACATGATAAATACCACCGTTTTAACTTTTAAAAAGTTGAAATACACATTTTTATGCATAAGTAAGGTGACATATATGTAAAAAAATGAATTTTAGGTGTCAGACATGTAAATACACATGAATTAAGTGGTTTGCATGTAAATCTTATTATTATACATATTTTTTTCGAATCCCCTGCTTTTTGTTTTGCTGATTTTCCTTGAATGTTTCTATAACTTATTTTTCGATTGATTTAAAGTTTTTGTTGCTATGCAAGTTTTCTTAGCTTGTTGGTTGAGAGTTTTGGCTTCTAACCAATGGGTTCAAAGTCCTGTGTTTGTGATTTAGGGAATGTTTGGGGTAGCAGCAACTTATCCAACTTATTCATATAAGCAGCTGATTCGGATAAGCTGTTGATCGGCAGCTGATCTGGATAAACTGGTTGGCTGTTTGGTTTGTTCATTTGGAAAATAACTAATTTGCAGTTGTTTCTAGATAAATGACCATTATGCCTCCAGTCTGAATAAACTGTCTAGCGTTTGGTTTGTGCGTCTGGAAAACAGCTGATTTGCAGCATTTTGTGGATAAATGACACTTCTGGCACTATGCAGCGTTTGTGCATTGGTCATCATTTTTTTGTTTCTTCTCATGCAATTTTGATAATTATATACTAGAAAATTCATGATTAAAGCATTGCATAAAAATTTTTCTTTAAAAAAGTTACCATCTTTTAGGTGTGCCTTTTGCTCCATGGCCTGTAGCATGCTCTTTAATTCATTGTTTTGAGTAGCAAGCCTGCCAAGTCTCCCTATAACACAATTACAAACATAAACTTTCTTAGTCCAAGAAAATCACAAAAAACGATCAAATTTGCATTTGCTGCAAAATTAATAACATCAAAGAGTAAGAAATTGGAAGTGTCACCTGCACGAAATTTACTTGAGTTGATAATATTGTAGCTTCAATCTGCAATGTCTGAAATTTGCTTTCTAGCTCTGAAATATACCGCACCTTTCTTTCCTTAGAACGAGCAATAGAGTGGCAATTAGCCAATATCCTGAAATCAAAGAACTAGAAATCAATCTAAGATTGTGTATAAGGGCAAATAACTAAATAAAACATAGGGGAACCTTTTGGCACGTTTTGGATCAGCCAGAGCGATCTCCTCGAGCCATTTATTTGCCATGATCTTCTTCTGCTTCCCCTGCTTTCCATTTCTTCTTGACGGTAATCTGAGGATTCTACTAAACCAAATCTATACAAATTGAGAAACGCGTCGAAAAGATCGTCGCAGACATTAGCTTCCAATTTGCTCTCCAAGGCGCGGTCGACACTATCATCGATCGGCTCCGGCTTCACCTCTGGTGGGAGATCGACGGTGGATCTTGCGATTCTGAAGACTATCGCCGGAGGCAGCTGACATCCAGGGTGTCAGAAATGGAGGAGATCGAGGAGGTTTTCCGATAAGGGGAGGGGCTAAACGACGAGAGTGAGTCAAGGGAGAAGAATGTTGGCTGAGAAAGGGATCGAGTGTGAAAGCTAGCAGGAAACAAACACAATGGAGTTGATGGTGACGCCTGTGAGTAGGCAATCGTTGGAGGAGTGCGAGATATGATAACCAGGGCACGGGAGTAATAATGCGAACGAAAATACGACCCGTGGGGGTGGAAGGGAACCGAGCCAGCTCGAGCTCAAATGCCAAAAAAAAAATTATTGTTGCTCTTCCCTTTGTGATTTAGGTAGTGGAGTGGAGCTAGGGGTGGAAGGGAACCGAGCCAGCTCGTGCTCAGCTCGTTAGCGAGTTGGTGGTCCGAGCTTATTGAACCGCGAGCTCAAGCTCAAGCTCATCCCAACTAGGCTCTTAGGCTCACAAGCCGACTCAATTAGCCTACTACTAGTCATTTTGATACATTTTTCGATGAGTTGACACTGTATTTTTCTCTTCCTCCTGCTACCAATATCTTCTTCAGTGAGCTGACGTAAAAATTAAATTTTTAGTTCGAGCTTTCGATCCGGCTGCTAACACTACGAGCTAAGCTTGAGCTCACAATTTGACAGACTAGCCGAGCTCGAGCTTGGTATGACTCGAGCTTGACTGACTCGTTTACACCCTTAAGTGGAGCTTTAGAGAGAGAGAGAGAGAGAGAGAGAGAGCAACAAATGCAAATTTATCTAATTCGACTAATTTATCTTTATAGCACACTTAAAGACAATTGGACCGACTTACGGTATTCATAATTTGACTAATTTGATTGTGCGAAACTAAATCATAAAAAAAAAATTCAGACAAATGGTCATATGAAAATTATCTATAAATGTGTAAAGGTTGCCCCCAACACACTTAGTTTAATTACACCCTTTGACTGATAAAGCTTGAAATTGCCTTCAATAGTCACTAATAGTGAATAATGGCTGAAAATTTTTTTCCATGCATTCATATCACCCACAAAATTGCTATTTATGAAACTACCCTCCTACCTGTAACTGTTTTTAGCGACATTTTTATGTTTAAGAAACCTTTTTGGGTAATATAAATTTAGGCAGCCTTTGGTAGCATGCGATTAACAGGAATTTAGCTTACAGCCAAACATAAAAAAATTAAAATAAAATAAAATTAGAGACTACCTCTCTACCAGGCTTCCTCTTAAAAAAAATAAAAGCGCTTAAAACTGAACTTCGTCAAGTAAATTTCAATTTGTCTCATAAAAACTGGTTACATATAAAACTATAAAAGTAGAGAAGCAAATATCATTTATAAAGCCTTGGAAGTAACTTTCAGTACAATTTCTACATTAAGTAATAATATTAAAACTCTTAAAAAGAGCCCAAACTAAAACATTACTTATAATTCCGTAAGCTCCTCTGTTGAAATTCAGGGTGCAAACAATTAGAGTTAAGCCTGAGCCACCCTTTTCTTTTTTTGATTGTCCAAGCTCGAGCTCAAGCCACTTTCCTTATTTATTATTATGAAAGAGAAAATAATATTATAATAAAATAATAAATAAAATAAGCCATTATGGTAAATAAATCATAAAAACATTACTCAATATAAAGTGTAAATTATTATTTTTATTTTTTTTTTTAATGATTTGAAAATAAAGCCTTCATTTTCAAAATATTTTGTGCATGGTTTGTTAGCTCGTTGAGCTCATACGAGCCAAGCTTGAGCCCAAGCCCGAGCCTAGCTCACGAGTAGCCCAATTAGTTTTCTTGAATGGCCCCTTGGCTTTGGCCAGCGGGCCCTCCTCCCAGTCAATTAAGAGAAGGCAGAATAATTTGTAAAATAATAATATTTTAACAACAAAATATAATATAATATAAAAATAGTAAAATATGCGTAATGCACGGTTAAGTATGAGAAAAAATCTATTCAACTGCTTCACGGAACATCATAATGTTTAGCTAATCTGCTATTTTATATTTCATCCATGTCATTATTTATGGACAACTTTTATAGGCAAAACATAAATACTTTACAATCAAAATAACTACAACGGGTTACTTTAACCGTGGTAAATAATATGCGGTTAGCCCACTTCACATCCTTATTCTCAAGATTACTCGATGTTAGATATGTAAATACATAGGAATTGGATGGTATGTCTGTAGATGCACCTACCCTTTTATCATACATCTTCTTCACTGCCATTGGGGATGGGGTGATAACCATTGCGGCTATGGGAGGAGAGTTTTGCAGAACCAACGGGTATGCACTTCAGCATAAAGACTATGATTAAGCTTGCTGATCCAATAAGAATGCTGAGAAGCCATAGTTGTGGACTGAGCGGAACTGTGCTGGCGAAGGCGCCGAGAAATTCGATGATGATGATTTGAAAGAGGATGGTTGAGAGGAGGATGGTGGAGAAGATCCAGCTGCTGGAGAATTCATGGAAGATGTTGAATTTCTCCATCTCTCTGCTGTTTATTTCGTTGAATAGCTGGTTGGTGGAGAAGTCAGGGAGATGGAGAAATGTATTAATGATAGTTAAAAAGAAAGATTTACATACATATCACTTGATTCTTATATATTTGCATATCTAACACCTAAACTTCAACTTTACATGCATGTCAGCTTCCCTATGCATGAAAAAGCCGTTTTCATTTTTTTAAAGTTTAAATAGTGGTGTTTTTGTTGTGATATGAAAGACTTGGGTGGTATACATGTAAAATGTAAAACCATAGGAATTGGTTGATATGTATGGATTTACATACATACCCATACCACTCAGTTCATATGTATTTATATATGTAACACCTAAACTTCAATTTTAACGTGCATATCACCTTACCTATGCATGAAAAAAGTTTATTCACTTTTTTAAAGTTAGAATGGTGGTGTTTTTGATATGATGTGCAAGAGTTGCGCGGTATGAATGTAATAAGTAAAGTTTAAGTGTTGGATATGTAAATACATAGGAATTGGGTGGTGTTTATGTGTTAATGCCCCTAAAAATTATATATAATAAGGCACCCTATGCCAGATTAACATATCATAACTAATTAAAGGTTGCAACATAACATCTTCTAAACATAGGATAAAATTCAAAGACGACATAAGATAAAAGGGCATCTACATAGATACCACGCAATTCCTATGTATTTACCTATCTAACACCTAAACTTAACTTTTACATTTATACCACTATTTAAAATTTTCATATCACATTAAAAATACCACTGTTTTATTTTTTAAAAAAGTGGAATACACCTTTTTCATGCCTAAATAAGATATAATATATGTAAAAGTGGACCTTTAGGTGTTAGATATATAAATACTTGAAACTCGAGTGATATGTACGTAAATCTTCCTAAAATAAAATGCAATCCAAGCAAAATTACCTTAACTACGATTGAAGAGAAATTCAACTTAACTATGAGTCGGAAAATTATACTCATACATTTCACAAGTTATTTTCAGATAGATAACCAATTTTCTGAGAGATAAACCATGTTTGATTCGAAAGAATTGAAATCACTAAAACAAATTTAATAGGTTTATTCATATATTTTATTTTACTTCAATAAAATCTATATGGGTAGATATTAAACATAAGCTTAGAGAATATTCTTACCATTTCGTACTCACAAGAGCCAGCTACATGATATATATAAACTTCAAATTAGATAAATCTGACATGCTTGAATATTTTATCAATTCTAAAGTTCTTGTGGTCAGATCTTGTATGTTCAGTATTGCTGTATTCTAAATGCATGTTTCAACAAGATGTTGGGTAAAAGTTAAATTTGAATTAAGCTAGAATTCATCAAATACAATAATTAAATGCTTATTATTACTAAGTAAAAAGGAGTGATATCTTACATCAAGTTGTGCCTATCAAGCATATACTGACATAAGTTTCGTCTATCTTCAAACATGAACCTATTAAAACCTTGCTGTGTGTTAGCACATGAATGTTCATCAGATGATGAATTAGATATAAAGACATTTAGGGTTATAATATAGTTCTTATTTAATTCTGTTAAATGTAAGCATCTAAAGATTACATTAGTACATGATCCTGAACTTGAACCTAAAAACATGAGTTAAATTCAAATCTAAAATTGAATTTGGGTAGTAAGTTTATTTTCGAGTCTAAATTTCAAGTTGAATTTGAATCTATCCTTAGGTTGCATCAATATCTCAAAAATTTTATTTAATTAAAATTGACTTCTAGAAGAGAAGGAAATTAAATTATCATTTATTAAGATTTTATTTATAAGAGTAATCATTGAACCATAATAATGATTTTTTCTTTAAAACTCATTGTATGATAAGCACACCGTATTCGTGTGGTCTGCTAGTTATTAGAAGAAAACTTGATGGAAACTAATAAAAATAAATTTCATCTTTTCCAACCTTTAGAATTAATTACAATATATCCATTAAAAAACATATAAATACATGGATCACATCAGATCACATTATTCACCAGTTATAACCATGATTTGCATGAAACTTAATTGTTAGTTTGCCAAACAAAAGCTAAAGTAGGTGATAATAGGAGATGTATAGAATCTAAACTAGGTGATAAGATAATTATTTGTTGATACTCTAAAAGTTTTCTTACAGGAACCCTTGCAAGGTCAATTGGTGGAAAAAAAGGAGCATTTAAGTTATAAAATGTCTGGCTAATTGCTTAAGAGTTCAAAAATTCAGAAAAGTTTGTAGTTAATATCATATGATTTTCTACCATGAACTATCAATCAATGCCCTGAATTCTTGTCACTTTCCACCTCATCCTACAAATTTTACATCCAACACAACATCTACAAGTTGCAAAAAATTTCACATTGATTTTATTCTTTGAGTTTTGGTTAGAGATATGATCATGTCCATTACAAATGGTGATTATCATAGGTATTTTGTATGGTGGAAAAAAATACATGTGATGATATTTGACAATTTCTATAGATAAGCCAAAAAAGCTATGCCTCGATTTTTTGGAAGAACAATGATAACTTTAAGCGAAGTACAGATTCAGTTAACAAGTAATTCACTATTTTGACAATCTCAGGGATAGGAAGAATAATGTGCAAGTAAAATAAAAAAAAATTAAGAATACAAGCAAGTTTATGTAATTCAATGAGATCGAACCTCATGTATGTAGGATGAAACATTTCCTCTAATCTATCCACTAATCTATAGGTAGGCTGAAATATCCCCTCATTTATATTTTTCCTACATGTATCCCACGAATATTTTTTCCTCCTTTCTTTATCTTTGCTTCTCTCTACAAACTTAAGCATGATTCCTCAACAACTATACTGAACATATATCGAGGAAAAATTTTTATATTCTTTTTAGTATAGAGAAAAGCTTGTGGCCTCTTATATTAGACCACGTTGCAGGTCTCCATCTCTTATGGCAGTCACTGATTTTCACTTATGAGGGCCCATCTGTTTGACATCTACCTCTACAAAGAAGCAGAAGAAGAGATGCACTTAAACGCCATGCAACTAACTCTTTATATAATAAATAGAGATGATAGGTAACAAAGTTATAGAGCTTAGGTAAATTAGATTATGAGGTTGACAATGAATTTGTAGAGGAAAAGTGGAGCCTTTTAGGAAATCATAAGAATCCATTTAACAAATACATGTAGTAGATTTTGACTTTTCGAAGTTGGGGAGAAAAAAAGGTTTCACATCTAAACCTTCATAACAAATTAAACAGTTTGGATTGGATTTTGTCATCAGTCCATAATGTACCCTTGAAAGTCAAATTTCTTGCGACTTGTCTTTATGTCTTGTATAAAATGTTATCAGGCCGCCCATTTTATAACTATTTTCTATCGTTACTAGAAATCAATTTTATATAAAAAAAATGAATTCAATATAAATTACCGTTGCAAACACTGAAAACGATCAATCATGTACATTATGTATTTTTTTCATGTAGTCAAGATGGAAAGGGTTATGGTAAAAGAGTAATCGCAAATTTTCAAACTTTATCATTCGTTTGGATAAAAGATATACCTGGCAAAACACGAATGTGTTGAATATGAAAGTGTTTAAAACAACATCAACGTCGGAACCGATTAATTTGAGGAGATGCTTCCCCTTGAACATGAGAACTCCAAGTACCACCAGTTGATAAACACTCTGGTCGGCAATATTCCTCCACATAGACTTAGTGATAATACTCTCACCACGATCAGTAGGCGGTCTCTTCATCATGTCATCATTTGGAGGTTCTGTTGCTAATGCCAAAGCGCCGAGTGTATCCATAATCATGTTTACCCATGATAGTTGCATAGCACTGAGAGGAGCATTCATTCGAAGTTAAAAAAATAAGAAAAGTGAAAAAATAGTCACCTAATTCTTTGTTGGAGGGTCCCAGAGTCTATAAAAGTGTCAAATTAGTTCTCAGATTGTTTTAAAGGGGGCTAAAATAGTCCTCCTTGGGACTATTTCAAACCATATTAAAAGATCCTGGGAAATAATTTGGCACTTTTATAGATTTTGAGACTAAAACGGCCCCATGTAAATAGTCAAGAGGACTATTTTAGCACTTTTGTTAAAAAAGTGAGTAATCTTCTGGGAATAAAAAAAGGCGAGTAATTTTCTGTGCAAAAAAATCTAGCAGCAAAGCTTACAATGACAGTAAAATGAGGTGATGCATGAAAATAATATTGAATAGGATACCTGTTATGCATGCAGAGACAAAATTGATCATAAGAGCGACTACATTAACCGTCAACTGGAACTGTATGAACTTTTGTATGTTAATGTATACGGCACGGCCCCATTTAGCCATATTTACGATGGTGGTGAAGTTGTCATCTAGGACAATTTCATCAGCATTCTCTTTTGCAACCTGTGTAAATAAGATATATTTAGATGAGCATTTTATGGTGAAAATATGCAAATAATGCTGTGGTGAGTATAGATAAGAACAAGAGCAATCAAAGAGATGCAGTATTTGATAGGATAGGGAAAGACCTTCTAGAGAAGCAAAAATAGTTGTATAATGGCACGGGATGGATGTCAGGGCTTTTGAATACTAGAATCAGTTGAGCAAAACCATACAGTTTTTTTTTTTCTTTTGCGGAAATTTACATACCTAGCACACAATTCTTATGTGTTTACATATCTCACTCCTAAAATTTCATATCTACATTCATAGCACTTTACTGCTTTAAACTTTGCATGAAAAATGTGTGTTTCACTTTTTTTAAGTGATAATAATGCTATTTTTTATGTGATATTAAAGATTTGAGTGATTGTTTGTAAGTGTGAAAGTTAGGTGTGAGATATGCAAATACATTGGAATTGCGTGCAATGTATGTAAATGTACCCTCTTTTTTTTTTTTTTATCTTTTTCTATGTACATGAACAGCTGTCTTGACTATGTATTGGTGGAAGATTCGTGTATTGGACATACCCTTCTTTTCTTATATATCTATTTATAAACTCTAGTTTGTCTAGAAAAGCATTCAGTTTTCTTGGTATACCTATACCATAGTGATAACTCATGTCGATCTGTATTTTATCTTGGCGTTATAAAATCAACTAGGAGATTCTAAGAAGAATCTAACAAAGCACTGGAGTTGATTGTAAGAGGGAGTTCTTCCATGAACACTAGTCAGTTGCAGATGTAATATGTAATATTGTCCATAGGAAAGGTGTCATTCATATTAAAGTCGGTACGCTATGGTAGCTTCTAGATAAATGAAAAGAACCGATTCATTCTCTTTAGTTAAGTTTAGAAGACAGGAAGAGGGGGCTTAAATTATTGTTTTTTTTACCTTTTGTAGACGGTTCTGTTTAACATATGAAAGTTCCATTATGTTTGTCTAAACTCATTGGTTTAGTAGAGCTTCAATTAAAGCAGATATTTGCTATTTGGATTGTTCTTTGGACAACTTGCAGCAAAATGCTAATCCAATTAAAGAAGTACAACATAATCGGATCCTAGGACTGCCATTGGTGTGGAATGTACGAGCTTCCTTTCTCTCTTTTCCTTATTAACAATTCACGTGTTTTAGCGGCCATTAAATCAAATATTGTTGCACATGATTTTGCTTGTCACTATGGTTTTTGTTCGCGAGCTACAAATAAACGACCTTGGAGCTTCAATTAAATTAGAAACTTACACATTGGAGTAAACTACATATCCAATTAAAGAATAGAAACATACTCCAATCCTAGGATTGATTGATGTAGAAAGCATGAAAAATTTGATGTGATCCAACATCAAAATCACGCTTTTTTACAAAAATAGGACAAAAGTTCTTTTCATTAATAATTCAAAATAAGAGGAATACAAGATAAACATTTACAAATTGAGAGGCAAACAATCTCTCTCAATTTCTCCAATTTGAGAGGTAGGGAATCTCTCACAAACCCTAAACCTATGACTCCCAATAACAATCTCATGTATAAACCTAAATATAATAAGCTCATTTATACCCAACAATAATAATAATAAAAGACTAAAATGCACTTAGACATACAAAAAACAAAATTGCCTTTAGGCTAGACACTGCTGTAACAATACTTATCACTCCATCACCCAAAAAAACACATTGTCCTCAAGGCGGAAAAAGTGAGAGTTCCTCCACCACAATTGTCTCTATTTCTTCATCATTTACCTCCACGTCATGCACTAGAGAACTTGTAATTTTTTATCATTACAATGATGTTTTGGTGCAAACTTCTTATCACACCAAAAGCATAACCTCTTAGCTCACTTCTCTTAAATTTCTGTCTTTGTAAGGGACTTGAGTGTTGCTCCCGATTGTGGCCCATTATTTTTGTCTCGTGCAGTCTCTCTCTAGACTTCAACTATTTGAGCTTTTGGTGTCGTTGTGGTTGTAGCAATTTGGTATGTTGCTCCTACTGGCCTTCATCTGGTTCTTGTTCTCCACCATTTAGGCAAGCTCTATCATCTCCATCAATCCCGTGGTCTCAATAGTTGGAGTGTTGCCCGTATGTAGGGCTTTAGGCCCTTCATAAAATTTTCCTCTATTCCTGCTTTAGAAATCCCTCCCAGTCGTCCCGATAATAGCTCTAATTTCTCCCTACATTCCATAACAGTCCCCTCCTAAGTCAAATTATAGAATTGCTCGTGTAGGTCTTCTTTCCGAATGGATCAGAAACATTATAACAAATAATCATTAAATTCCTCCCACCAATGGATCCGATATCTAGTCTCCTTCATCCACTGAAACCAAGCTAGGGCTTTCCCCTCCAAACATAATTCCACTACTATGAGTTCTCCTCCCAATTTAGCCCATTCATCATGAAATATCGCTCCACCCTGTACACCTACTCATTTGCGTCTTCATCCTCAACGATTGACATATTCAACTTCCTAATCCTAGCATATCCCTGCCAGCTTTCTCTCCTTATGCTATTTTCTTCATGCATCAAGGGTAAAAACTCCCTACTGTGATCATAGCCATATCCCATCTTCGTTTCTATCATTTCTTCTTCGTGCTCTTTCATACCCCTTGCACAACCCTTTCTCCATGTTTTAACCGAATAACTCCGATAAAAAATCTCTAATTCATCCCCAATTGGAGCCCTGAGTTGGGATTCTTGAGGGGATGTTTTCATCCCTATGTTCCTCTTGTTTGATCACATTTCCTTTCAATTTAGTCAAGTCTCTTAGGTCACCCCTTGGTTAGGGTTTGTGAATTGAATCACTGGCGAGGCTTTGAATTGCATCTCAATAAGTTTCTTTAGCATCTCCTCTAAGCTCTCAAATTGGCGCTTAAATCGATTTTCCATGGAGTAAAATCTTCCTTCTATGGTGGAGAATCTTTCCTCCATCCCATATTTGAGTTGACTAATCTCTTCTTCCAACTTTTTCTCCAAATCATCTATTTTCTAGGCCGCTATTACTTTGAAGGATATTTTTGATCCCCCAAGACAATTATTATAGCATGGAATCCCCTTGTTTGCTTTCAAATAAGTCAAATTGAGCGATTGTTCCACAAGTCTGTGATCTCATATCACTTCGATCTTGTTGCCGCTTCCCAGTTAGGTCCAATCACAACTGTCTAACGAGATCCGATCACACAATGATTATCTTGTGACTGCGGTCCAATCTTCCCAACTAGCTTTAATCACGATTGCTTCATGAGAGTAGAGCGGGAACAAGAGAAAGATAGGAGTTACAGAGCGAGAACATAAGCAAGCTGGGAGTTTCATGTCTCTGTAAGTCGTGATTTTCAGAAGCGAGGGCGAAGTTTCTCTGTACAATTGCCTTCCTAGCTCGAGTTGCTCCTTAAGGAGGTACGCCACGATCCCTTAGCCACTTCCCAATGAGCTTTATCAAACAGTTCGGTCCTATGGCACACTCAAGCCCATCATCGGCTTCTTAGTTGGCTGGAATCGTAGCTGCTTTTTGCGGTCGGTGGTCACAACGAAAGATTACTGCAACTGCATAGTGATCAACTTCCCGAGTGTGCCTCTATCTTGTCATTCTGTAGAAATCAAATGCTCTGATACCAATTTGATACGATTCGACATCAAAATCAATACTCTTTTTCACAGAAATTAGAGCAAAATAGATTATTTTCACTAATAATCTAAAACAAAACAAATACAAGATAACACGCCCAATAACAATCTCTTACATAAATTAAACCCTAAATATGCTAAGCCTTTTTATACACAACAAAAAAAAAAAAAGCTGCTAAGCCTTTTTATACACAACATATACACAACAAAAAAAAAAAAAGCAAAATTGCCCTCAGACATATAAAAGCAAAATTGCCCTCAGGCTAGGCACCCACGCAACATAATTTTAAGAATATGATTGATGCAAATGCATTTTACCTTCCGTGACTCCTTTCCCTATTCATACCTTGTATGTTTTTGCATCCTTTAAATTACAATCATGTAATGGATAATCTTATGTGTTTCTAACACCTTCCATTGCAACTGATGCGCGATCCTCATCTGTGCAGATAGGCATTGCTGGCTATGATTTCCTCTTGCGGGATTTCAACCTAAAAGATTGCTCTGATGATTTATTGGTTTTAGATGATTTCTACTTTATGATATTTCAATGATCATCTTTGGTGTAAAACAATCAAATCTGAACGATTCGTGATTCTAAATTAATTTACTTAAGGCATGTAAAAAGAACTTCTATGGATAATCTAGTTGATTCTATTTTAGTTTCTACCTTAACTGAGTGCTTGTTGAATGTGATTCTACTATAGCATGGTCTAATTAAATATTGCAGTTTTAGAGGGAAATTCTCTCCCTTTGGCAAGTGTGATGAGGTTTGGATTGTTAATTGGTGATTTATTTCTTTCTCTAAATTTATTCCTTCATGTGTTTATTGGTTTGTTTGCATGACTGAATAACATCAAATCTAATAAATTTTTTTGTATTTTTTATTATGGTGTGAATCTTAAAACAAATGTTCAATTGTCATGATTTTGAATTTCAATGCCAGATACCTATTAAATGATCGTTTGCTATATTCCTCTCCTCTCAACCCTAGCTCCACCTCCTTTCAAATAAAGCCTCGCCGTCTTGAGAGAGAACTTGTGAGAGAAGTTTGCATGGGTAATAAGCACTTATAACGTAGGCAATCTGTAAACCCTTTACTATAGAAGTATGCCAC